AAAGGATTGGTGTGAAATAGGTGAAATTTATGTTTTGTGATCATTTAAAATTTATTTATTTAAAATGGCAGGCGTTTTGATAGTTATCATTAGCAATTTAGACGACTCCGGACTTCATAGACGGGGGGAGCATCATAGTGAGAAAAATTCGAGAGGGGGAGGAACGAAGAGTGATTCACGGATGTAAAGTGACAGATGGACACAAATGCAGAGGAAAGGTAAGGTGAGTACTGTGAAGTGGTCAAATATGACATACAGTGGGGTTATGGTAGTTTGAAGCCAGAAGTCAACTGCCTGTTTATAGACTTTTTGCAGTATGAGTATACGTTGCCCAGGGTACACCACATGGAGGTAATTTTATCGCGCGCCCCGTGATAATTTAAAAAAGAAGTCGATATTTAGAGCTTCCGTATGGGGCGGATGATTTAAACATATTTCGTTGTCTCACTGGAGTAGATTTTGCGTTTTCATCTTGGGTTTGCCATGGGTCTTGATGCCGAAACAGTATGTTCTGACGGAGGGTGGCGAATATTTACGTGTATGGGATGAGAGTTATCAGGGAGATCTAAAAGTTATTCGAGAGTTCTCGTATCACACTTTCGAATAGTTCTCTATAGAATTAATTCACTGCATGTCTGCCATTAGACTCAATGGATCCTAGTGCGCTCAAGTCTTGGTGAATGATTGTCTGTGATATGCTTGCTTGTAGCTTGAAGGGCCGAACCAATGGATTGAGGAAAGCATTTCTCTTTAGATTGAAAATTAACACTGACTTCAGAACCGATAAGGTTTCTCTTTGGGGTAGTAGTGTCAATCTTGAGATATCTGCAGCTTGGTTGGCGTTTATTGCAGTCGTCTTCTTAAGTCCAATGAGAAGAGCAAATTTTATTGCGGTGTTCTGATGCGTTGGCATCAAGCTACTTCAAGTACTTTGTCAAGACTGGTTCGGTAAGGGGTTGTATCCTGATATTCTGTCCTATTTAAAAGAAAATATTCCACTCATAGCAGTTTCTGAATAGAGTCGCTTATCTTGATTCCTGCTGACAGGCAAAGAAGTGTAATCCTCTAATGTATAACGTGGAATAATAAATGACCATTAATTTTTTGTAAATCTACTTAGCCAAGCATTTTAAGACGATTATTTTGCTTGTAGAATGACATCATATCCCACCCTTCCTCGAGGATCGAATTCTGCCCGTTCTATATCAGCCACGTCTAGCCAGAACGGTTGGCCATTCCGTGAACTCTGGTAATGCATGCGTAATTGGTGACCAATGAGTAACCGACACAAGAAAATAATTAACACTGTATCTGTACACTGTACTCTGAACCTGATCTCCTAAAATTAAGTTTAGGAATTTAGAGTACAGCTCATCGCAATGTTAGGGTAATTTGATAATTTCAGCTTGAAGTGTTAAAATGCTTTCACTTTCATATTTTATGAAATGCTTCCATACCTAAGTAAATATTTTCTGGTAAAAATATTTGATATTACCACATCTGGTTTCGGCCAATTGAGTACAGTGAACTCTTAATACGGAAACGTAAAAACACCGACACAATTTCATACCATTTGTTTAGTAATGCAACAAAAAAATTAAGTCGGTTTTATTCACAGCAAAAAATTCCCAAAATACAATTGATTTTATCATTACTATCATATGCGCAGTTGTGTTAATGGCGTCTTAAAATATCTTAAGAGGTATCTTGGTTTCCAACAGAGTTAGTCCCTATTTAGTCTGTTGATAGGTATAACTGCGTTTTAACGGCAGTAAAAAAGATCGTATCACCCTTTTATTATTTCTAATCGAGCTCCCTAATGTGAGGCAAGGAGCGCTTGATCATCCAATCAGATGAAAGAAAACAACCACTCAGTCCTATATAAGGAAATAAAGTGAAGTTAGTCTTTCGTATAGGGCAAAAGATAGAAGGGTAAACTAAAATAAAAGAATATTTTAATATTATAATTTATAAAGTGAAAAATTCCTTAAAATGACTGATTATTTCTTGTATATAATTTTAGATCGAGTAATGGCATTTTCCAAAATCTTTGTAATGACCTTCCTTCTTGCCGCATTCGTTTCTACTAATGCTTTCAAACTTAAGTCGAGGGAGGACGGAATGAGAGTTGTGCCTTCTGAAATGATACCAAGTCTCTACAGACGATATCCACCTCTCGCTGATGCCGAACTGGATTTGCCCTCACTGATTGAATTATATGAGATTGAAAAACGCCGCACACCATACAGTGGAGGAATATTTGGTCGTTAAATTTAATAATTAATGATTCTTAATAAAATAATAATGTAGTTTATGTTTTTAACTTACTTGTAGATTATTCTTTAAACTGTATTTTGGAATGATTCAGATATATCTCTGCTTGAAAATTCCAACACTTTTCCTTCAAAACATGTCATCAAATTATTACAGAATTTAAATATGTTTCTTTTTGACATTTTGCTGATAAAGGTGAGCTAAAATTCATCTATGCAATTTACAAGCACAGATATGGGGTAGTATAATTAATGCTATATTTCATAAGAGATTTTATAAACTGAAATTAAGTCGGCACAACAAGTAGGAATTTTTATTATTAATACTTGTTGCCGTAGTTCCGCATTAAATACAGATCTTCACTAACTGGACACGTGTCGTACCGAGGCATATCGAGAATAAATTGAGTTCTTGAAGTTAACTTTTTATTTAAAATCACAACAGCTTCGAGCTATCAACACTATTTTCATGAAATTTCGAATTTAGCTGCTTTGTTTTAATATTCAATCCTTCTTATAGTCAGCATATTCCATTGCGATCTCAGGTGTTGATTACAGTAAAATAGGTGCTCAAGGGTAATTTTGCAAATATTAGCTATTTAAATATGCTAATTTCTGATTAGCTGTCAGAAACTTCCTTTCTTGTCTTTGGTATCTTTCGGTAGACCGTTAATGATCAGTGAGTGTTCCCGTTCCAATTCGCACATTTATTCTATTAATTGGTACAATTCTACTAACGGAATAACGCATAGTTAACACTGACGGAATAAATAGTAATATTACTAATGGGATATTAACCCCAAACTCATTACCCTAAACAGGTAACTAAAAATTACTAAGTTAAACCCGATGCAACAGTTTGTATGTACTAGCGCCAACAAGGCTGCTGATTACTAAATAAGGATAAATTATGGTCATAGCTTCCCATACCCAAGGTAAGGTGATCTGAACTCTTACAAAGGTTGTGCTTCGAAAATAGGAATATATATAGGCATAAATCGTAAATAAGTGTTTGGGTGTCTGTTAAGCCAAAAAACTACCGTTTGGAATTAAGTCACTTATTAGGACACAAGCGTGGAAACTCAACAGTCGGTAGTTCCGTTCAAGAGGGATGATTTATTAGCCCACAATTTAGGCTCACATGTAATATTTAACTCAGCTTCCTGATATCAAATCATATTACAAAAATAATGAATTATTTCATAATATTGTAGTGAATATTCTAACGTATTTTGTCATTTGGTGAAGTATACCAAACCTCGTGAATAAGATAATTGAAATTGTGAGGAACTTGAAAAATTCTCATCCACTGGGTTGTCAAACAATTTTTCTACTGAAATCATTTTCGATTATTAAAAAAATGAATTTTATTGTATTCATACTTAAATCGCAAAAATTCATTTTAAAACTGTTAATTATAAAGCTATTCTTACAAAATATTTTGTTCACATTTCTCTGAACACCTTCATTTATTTACATACAGGGAATAAGCTGACATTTTGTCAATAAAATTCGGCAATGCTTCCAGGTTCTTTCTCTGATCCACAGTTAATCTTAAAAATTGGGAATTTTTCGTCAATCAAATTCTTGCATTTCTGCAAGTAGAATTTTTCTGGTGAGTAGATTGCAACCAACTGTTGATGTTCACCATGGGCATTCACTCGTTTATCACGATGGAGGTATATTTTCGAGCGACTGCTTCTGACCAGGGCTTCAACTCTTCGATCCTGTGGGTTATTAATCAAAAAGGCTTGCGTTTCGGGGACCCAAAAGTACCAGTAAATGCTTGCTTTATCATTTGGGGGGTCGGAACGATTCAAATATGACCGAACGTCCTTTCTATCGGAAGATACAGCCCTTCGAGAGAGCGGTCGATTAATTTCGGAGTTTGAAATTGTAGGTTCCTTTCTGATACCGGAAAGCATTCTTTCATTTAGAGATCTTCTGTCATTTCTACTACTATACTTCATAAGGGGACTTTGGATTTTCGATTTAAAATCTCCAGGACTTCGGGAAAATTCTTCAGTCGCATTTGAATCGCTTAGAATATTCGGACCTTCTGTATCATTATTGAGGTCTCCGTCGGTGTTTAAATCCGGATTGTCAGACAGAGGTGTTGATACGCGCTCTGAAGATTTAATGTTTGAATTTTGAGCCAAATTTGACAGCAGTTTTGAGACTATATCATTCTTTAAGTAAGACATATTCATTTCTTCTAAATCATGCATCATGGCAACGAAATTATCAACAAATCCTGATTTTTCATTGGGCTTTTGCTGCCTTCTATTTAAATTGGTTCGATTTGCAGAGACTTTATTATCAAGACTTCTGCGAAGACTCTCATTTGTTGGATCCATCTTTGAGGGGGTTTCGGTTAAAGGTTGTTCAAAGTTTGTTTGACAGCTATCGCCATCCGGTTTTATTGGACTGATTTGAACTCTTGCAGGGTAGGCTCCATTAAGAGAGTCATTGTTTAATAAAATCGTTTTTTGTGATCCATCGTAACTGGTGTCCTTTTCAATTACTGATGGAGAATTTTTTGGGACAAGTGTGTCCTTCGCCTTTTTGTTATAATCACTACTTTTTCCTCCCCATTTCGTAAATGACAAATTCTTTTTGGGTGTAATATCATTCAAATCGGAAGATTTCCTTATCTTTCTCATACTATAAATGGTATATATTCTACTATAAAAAATAGAATTACTTAAAATTTGTACATGTCGATGGTGCTTAAAGTAAATTAACTTACGGATAATTTCAGTATCGATTTATTTATTGTAACAGCTGATCATACAATGAGATTATAAGGCCTACTATCCTAGCTCTAAGGGAATTTCCCTCTATTTGGTTTCCTCAAATTGAACTATATATGGACACTCGTGGATCTGTACTTCCTTAACTATTCTTTTAGCAAATATATTATTTATTCACTATCATGTTTCCTGGAATCTTAATATTTGCCCAATCAGATAGTATGTTGACATTCTCAAGATAAAACCTGCATATGCCGTCTGTAGACATATTCAACGATTCCTTGAAAAATAAACTTTTGCGATATTATTTACCACTCCTAATTGAATTGCTGAGAATTTAAATTTTAAAAAAAATATTTGCCAACAAAAAATTGCCACTTTATTTTCAAAGGGTGTACAAATGAAGATATGGAGTACGAAATCCTAACACGATTAGTTTATGTGCACTCGAATATTCTGGAGGGTGCGATCGTGCGCGTAAAGGACTTCTCAGATACTAATGTTAAAGGCATGCAAATACGGATCGCGTTGGCCGCGATTATATAAGTTCTGCAAACACTATGCTCGCTATAAGTCTCTGTTTTCTATATAATTGAGATGCACTATTTGTATCAGGATATTTTGCCCTGGTGATGCCTGAAGATACATCAAGGCTTATTCGTGTAGCAATCCGCTGAAAAAAGTTTACCTAACTTTCCTTTATTACTCATATTTATTAAATCTCTTTTTTATTGCAGTGGAGTGAAGCAATTTAGACGAAAAAAATTTGTATATACTCATATTAATATCTGATAGCATTATTTCATCTCTAAAAAACTAATAAGCATCTGAAGTAGACACAAATTCAAGAACTAGGGGGTGGACTTTATTTCAAAGTTATAGCAGGCAATGACATCACAATTTAGCACATCTTAACAAATATGCAAATTTAATGAATAAATAACTATAATTAGCATAACCTTCTGAATAAAAAGTGTTCATATTTAATCGATAGCTCTTTCAGTCATTTGTTTAAAATTAAGATCCACCTTGATTCTTTTCGAGGTTATCTGAAATTTACCGATTAACAGCTTAACCGATGATTGTTTGTACCTCCAAATTTTTCCGATGAGACGTTAAAGAGAGATCACATGAATCCACACCGACATTCATTTGACTCATTCATTGTTAGGGGATTACTTTTGCGTATCAAGAACTGTTATATTTGTGAATGTGAGCTAAAATCCGGACCTCAACACGAGGCCCCAACCAATGCCTAAGAATCTCTTCCACTGTCTCCTCGTATTGTTACACAAGGAGTTAGGTTTTTGCATTTTCAGAGAGTTGTTCCTTATGGTCATTGAGCTTCGGAGGGGAGTGTAGAAGTCAGTTTATGGCAAGTCCTCAAATCGGGAAGAAGAGAAATCATTAATAGTTCGAGACCCGACTTTTGAAACCTCCTGGTTGACACACACTAGTTAGAGGTTATTAATGGTAGTACCTCTTACTGTCGAATTAATGAGCATAACCATGAAACATGAATACACGAGGGCAAAATGCTTTTGTACGCATGATATCAATGTGAAACCACTGAATTTTAGTTTGGGAGTATAAGATGTTCCAGTAGAATCATCTGCATTTCGTACAACCAATTTCGACACTGTCCTACTTGCAAGGGGCATGAGCATTGCAAGAATCATTTCTTTGTATAATTAAAATTTATGATTCACTGATGTATGTCGATAAGGAAGCCAAACTGGTTCGAAGTGAATAGACTGATCAAGATATTTTGGGACTTGACTCTGGTGGACGATTGAAGAGTTCTGGTGAGGGGGAAGGAGGTAAGGAAACATATCTTTGAAGCACTCTTCTGTTCCCCCAACCCCCCCCCCTCCCACCTCTCGACCTTTTTTCACATTGATGTTCCTTCCCCTCTGTGAAGCCTGAAGTCAACTAAAGGGCTAATGATAACTATCAAAAAGCCTGCCATTAGATATAAATTAATACTTTAGACAAGAAATATTCCAC